ATTCAAAAGTCCCCAAGCAAAAAAACTGGGGCAGAAAGTTGTGGTTGTTGTAAGAGATCTGATTCCAAAGTTGTAATTTTGAACTCATTCAAGCTGTTTTGAGCCTTGGTGATACCCTTTCTTTCTAACCCTATCCAAAAGCCTACATTACGGTCCAAAGAAAGACCTTACGATCAGTCTTCGAGAGATGCCAAGTCGAGCAAGTAGAGGTGCGATCCGCGTCAGGGGCAACACTCCGGTCTAAGCAGGAAAAATGAAAAATGAGAGAGTCTTATTGGTGAAAACCGTCACGGGCACCGTAAGGCGATTGAAAGCTGAGAGAAATTAAAAATGAGAGAGTCTTATTGGTGAAAACCTTCACAGGCACCGTAAGGCGACAGTGAGCTGAGGGATGAAAAAATGAGAGAGGTTTGTTGGTGAAAACCCTTCAGGGCACTGCAAGCCGAACAAGGTCAGTGACTTGGCGAAGAGATTGGGTTATGGAAATCCCGGGGCATAAAGTATGATAACTGAAAGCTAATTGGTTGAATAGGCTGGGCTGATTAGTCCGAAATGCATGTCATGATCATTGGTACCAGATGCTCCACTCAGATAAGTTACTTTTCCTTTTCTCCCTCAAACAGTCATCCAGTTTTGGATTTTCTTTTTTATTCCTAACTCTCGAAGTCATTGCATTTCATTTCTTTTGGGTTTATTTCTCTAAGGTTTTTCCAATATCAGCCTTGTTTAAGCAAGTGTGAAAGGATTTCAAAGCTTACTACCAACTTCCAAATTACACAAAGCAAAGTGCGGCCAAAACATACCAGAGATAGCATGATGTAAAGTGGGAAATAAGGTGTCAGTGAAAGCTCTATTGGTCGAATGGTTCGGTAATCTTGTGGGAGATACAAAGGTAGAAAGGTCAAAAATGTAAAACAACGGGTTGGGTGTAGTGCACTTAGGTCACTCAGGGTCCTACGGTTGAGATTCAGTCAGAAAGTCAAACAATTCTTGGCCAGTTTAAAGCAGCCAGTCAGAGAAAAGCACGGCAATGGAAAGGCCACCTTCAGCAAGAATGCCACAAACTAACCACCACATCTTTCAAACTGATAAAGTTTTCTTTGATTAAAACAGGGGCAGGAAATTTCGTCTATTCCGAGGAATCCTCCGTGGGGAAAGCATGTACCGGACAGGTTCGACCGTAAATTCTTAGGACCCTCCTGGAGAATGGGACTTAGTTAAAATTCAAAACATTAATGAGTAACAAGATCTACATCCTTCATTTCATGTATCCGTGGCATTCCAAGGATCACATTATATCCCATGTCACCGTCTACTACTTCAAACAGGGTGAACTTCATTACGCCTTCGGCATGTGTTGGCAGTAAGATATCTCCCCGGGTCGTTACACTCGTTAAGTTGAACCCAGCCAGAAGCTTTGTTGCCGGAACTATTTTTCCGGTTAATTTTGCTTGCTCCAAAACTTTCCATTATTACGATATTGGCAGAACTTCCTGGATCAACCAACACACGTTTAATTTTAAAATCTAAAATATTAAGAGATATTACCAGAGCATCGTTGTGAGGTAGAATAAGTCCATCATCATCTTCCTCCGTAAAGGTGATATCATCTTCTGAAACTTCACGAGCCCTCTTGCCATGTGTTATTGATATCGTCGTCTTCTTTGCTACTGAAAATGTCACTCCATTTAATTTGTCGCCAAAAAAATCATGTTAATCGTCATGCCAGGTGACCCAGCAGCCGATTTTGATAGTTCTGCAACATCTCGCCTTTTCCCATAGTTATTCTTGGCCCGGACACTTAAAACATCTCTGAGGTGGCCATTCTTCAATAATGTTTCCACCTCTTCATGAAGGTGTCGGCAGTCCCCAGTTTTGTGACAATATGTTCCATGGAACTCACACCATAGATTAGGATCCCTTTAGCTAGGATCTAATCGAATTAGTTTAGGGAACCTAGACTCTTTTATGTTCCTCATAACCGACACCAGCTCTACCAGGCTGATGTTAAAGTTGTAGTCGGATAATCGGGGATACGTTGAATCTCGGGACCTCGATGCTTCTTTCTCTTGCAAAGTTCTGCTACATCGACCACGATCCGTTCTTCTATCAGAATAAACCTATATGATAACTGAAAACCTTTATTTCCTCGCTCATCGGCCTTTCGTAAAGCTAAAAATGACCTCTAGATAATCTTTGATCTGCATCAACATCAGCTTTAAACCTTTCCTAATTCCGATCTCGATTTCGTCCTTTGGAAAACACTGAGGAACCTAGTTGACCATCTTCTATTCTAATCTTTGACTCGTAGCCATTGTGGACATCTGCCCACGTGGTTGCCTGAAATTCTAACAAGCTTTCCTTCAGTTTCCTAGAGGAATCGAAGCTCAACTGGTTGAGCCCTTTGTAAAAATGCTTCCGCTTTCCACTCATCCGATACTGCTAGCAACAACATCCTTTGTTTCTAAATCCGAATTACGATCTCTCATAGTAGTTCGGTTCGCCTTGGACTATTCTGAATATATCTATCTTTCTTGCTGCAGCATGAGCTTTAGTAAAAGAATCTGCAAGCGTTTCAAAAGAATCAATGGAATGCTCAGGTAAAAGAGAATACCAAGTTAAAACCCTTCGTTAGGTTTTCACCAAATTTCTTTTACAATACCGATTCGATCTCGTGCTGGACCAAATTATTTCCCTTTACAGACGTAGTGTAGGTCGTGATATGTTCCTATGGATCTGAAGTCCCATCATACTTCGGAATATCCGGCATCTTAATCCTTTTCGGAATCAACTTTGGGGCCGCACTTGGCTTGAACGGCAACTGCTTATACTTCTTGGAATCTGGTTCCTTTAACACTGGTGGCGCTCTCGGTATCTGATCCATCCAAGCGTGGAATTCTTTAGCATTTTTGGTCCATGGGCTCATTCATTTCCCTTATAAATCTCATGAACTCGGTTTTGAAAGGGTCGTTTGCATTGTTGTTATTCCCAGATCCACTACCGGTACCTCCTACCTCGTTAAAATCGAATTCCTCCCTTGTAGCGTCGTTACCGGTTCTTTGAACTGTTTGATTTGCAGGACACTAGGACGTACCCGAGCTCCTCCATTATAATTATTGGAAGCAATCGATAGTGCATGCTTCAATTCTATCATCACTTGGTCTTGTCTTGAGAGGTGATTCATAATCGGCCTTTGTTGCTCTCTCAAAATCTTGATGGGTGCAACAACGTGTTCGTTATTCGCACTATCAGGAGTTGGACTCCTCACATGCCGAGGATTTTGACCTTTGCGAACCAGAGTTTTTTCATCTCTTTTATTGCGGGTTTCGCTAGTTGAATCATCACTTTGGAACACATCCCCACGTTCGTTGTGTGCTCCAACATTATAGGAATTGTTGACATCGTTAGCTCCCATATCTGATTTTTCTTTTGCCAAGAGACGAAGCAAAATTAGTTAATAACAAATGAATGGATCAAAGCAATTACACAATTATCTATGCCCCAAGGTGGGCGTCAAACTATTTACTCGTAAAACAGTACAGTTAAATTTTATAACGTGGTTTATAGACACCTGAATTAATTTGACCAAAAATATTAAATAAATAAGAACAGAAATAAGATTATAAAATAAACTTAAAGGAAATACAAGCTTGACTATGAATTTAGCTTCTCCAGTAGCAGAAACAAGAACAATATTAAGAGCAAAGTAAAAGAGCAGTCTTATAGAATGCGAGCTGATTTTAGCTTTTGTATACATAATGTTTTTGTGTCCTGCAATGGATACTAATTCTCTTATTTATAGCTCTATTTAAGGAGACAAGATCCCCAAATCAAGCTCCTCTTGAATGAGAATAAAATCGCCATTGATGGTTGTGTAACGGTTGATCATAAAACAGAGATCCCTTGTAACGACTGCTCATTGATTGTTGTCTTTTCCAACCGACGTCTTGCTTTCAAATATTTATCTCGGATTCGATGCCTTCGGGATTCGCTCAGCACCGGTCACATGTTTGTCCGGCGCCAGCTATTTGTTAACTCACATCTTACCTGTCTTTAGTTGCACATGTCATTTCGGTATTCGTCCAATTGTCGCTAACCAATTTTACCCCATACACATATAGTAAATAATAATAATAATAATATTATAATGATAACTACGTCTCAACCAAATCAAGTTGACACAAGTAACTTAAAAAAAAGGCATAACTAAAAATTATAAAGAAAATCGAGGAACATGCTGGAGCGGCAAAAACTCTCCGGATGGGCTGATAGAAATATGAGGTGGCCTGGGGAGCAAAGTTAACTGGTCCGTAGGGCGGAGAAGATAGAAAAATATAAAAGAGTAAAATACTCGTTACAATTTCATAGGATCACTAAAACAATTTGAGATAAAAGTTACTTATGAGATTAAATCTCGTAAAAATGTGAGCTAGGTCAAACCAAGCAAAATAGATAGTCTAACCACCAGTTTCGCACTTACACACTTGAAGGAGAGAAATAAGCCAGATATCATATCAAGAGATGACACCACCTCTCTCCTTATTATCTTTTGTCCTTCAAACTTTGTTACTTGTTGGACATAAATGAACTTTGTGATTATGACTTCAAGAGAAATTAGCTTATTGTGTTCTTTTATAAATTATTTATAATATTAGGTGGATCTTTTAATGCAAATGCATAATTTGAGCGAGGGTATTAAGTTATGCCTAAATAGTAAGCAGATTTGTAACTCTGTCCCTACAAACAATAATGAAACTTAATTTATTTATACTAAAGTCGATTAATTTATATTATATGATGATGTGTGAAGCTGCAAACTTTAAGAAAGAAAAAAACTTCCAAACTAGTGGTCTTCACATGCCATGATGTTTTGTTACTATTAAAGCAAATTGCTAACATTAAATTACTTTTTTAATATAAAAAAATCAACAAACCAAAAAAGAACGTATATAGCCTAAGAAAATACGAATTATTCAAGTGACTTGGTAATAATATATTTTAAGAATTAAAGTGGCATTTAATTTATTACGTATACAATACAAATGTCCAAAGTTGACTCGACTGAGGTAATCTCTCTACTTACAGTCTACAATACTCATCGATACTCCATGAATATAGGTATCTTTTACGCCAACTAGGTAGGCCTCAAGTGATACATACATACACGGAGAAAAATCGGGTAGCAGATAAACTGGCTAAACATGGAGCAACTTTGGATAATGGTGCTCCTCCTACTATCATAAGGCAACCACCACCTTTTGTTTTACAAGATTTGCTAGCAGACCAGCATGGAACACCACACTTGCGCAGATCAGCTACAACATCACAACTTGATCCACCCTCTTCCAATGATTGTAATTTTCCCCACGGATCTTTTTGTAACACAGTACCAACTGGCCACAATGCTCAACACTCTTTTTGCAACACAGTGCCAACTGGACACAATTTTCCCTGTAATATTACGTAATGCATAATATATATAAGTTCCTTTGGGACCCAAAAAGAAAAAAAGAATTAAAGAACGCAGGTCTTTTTCCTCAATCGAGTAGCAAAGAAATCAGCAAAAGCTATTGCATGCCTTAGGCATTCAACTTTAACTGCTACACCGCCAAGGCTTATCTGAGGATTTCTAAAGTAAAAGTCACTGCTCACGCTTTTCCAGCTACTCGTTTTTCCCACCTTCCTCTTTCAAAGTATATATATTCAGACTTCCCATAAATCCAATGCTTTTAATTTGGGTCTTATCTTCCTGAGTAAGTTCTATTCAAGTGTGCATTGCATCTTATTCTTGTTTTACTTTCTTCTTTAATTACCCCTCTAATTGGCTTTGTTAAAATGTATTTTCCCAGAAAAGAAGTGTTTGGGTCACGAGTCTGTCTCCTTTGGCTTTTCCCCACTTCATATAAAATTAAACAAGCTTTTAGAAAAACTAAATTGCATGTGCAATCAGAGGCAGACCCAGAATTTTTACACGACGGTGGCACATTCTGCTCAACCAATGATCCCTGAAGGCTTTTAATGTTCAGGATGCCAACTGCTTAAATTAACCATCTTCAAGATATATACGTATATATATACAGGATTTCATCCAAAGTTTACGGGGTCTGGTGACCCCTCAACCATACACATGGGTCCGCCTTTGTGTGCAACCTCCCAAGACTACTTAATTAAATGCTGACTTGCCATATTATACTAACAATTGGAATTAATCTTTCTTGATTCTTCAGCTTTTACAGCTAATTATGTCTTTAATATATCTGTATAATGAAATCCCTTTCATGTTTAATACTCCGTCATTTAATATACGGGAATTGCAGTTTACAATAAATGCATAATCAGAGTAAACAAATGTATCGTCATTTCTCTTTTAACTAACCGACAGTTACCAGAAATAAACAAAAATTTACTTTTGACCAACATACCTACCTTATGCATGTATTGACATACAGTAAGCTTATTGCTCTTCATTCCCATTAATTCTCATATTTCCAAATATTTTTATATCAAACATAAATATGAATTAAAAATCATTGATATCTATTTTTGTGGCCTCAAGCCCTATGCAAGTCTCTATTGATCTTAAAGATACTTGTTATTCTTTACCTACTTATTCTGAATTTCTTTTGCTATAATTATTGCTATCATATTCATAGGGACCAAATGACATCATATTATGGCTCAATTTCTGTACTGCTATGGAACTTCATTTGCTCACTAGAATAAAATCTATGTACTTCACATTAAATAAACCAATAAACTACCAATCCAATTTCTCAGTTCCCCATCATCTGAATTCCTAGTAGAATCCAGGAATTAAAAACAGAAGTTTGGCCATACAGTTAACAAAAATATGATAAATTAATTACGATCATATTCTCACAAGACTTGATGAGACAATATAGTGTATACATAACAAGAAACTGAAGAAAACAGAGAAGTCTCTGGTAGCTAGCACAACCCATTCTCTTTCTTACTAGTTACTACTACTACAATTTTCCAAATAAACCAAAAGAATATTCTAATATATTAAATAAGAAAATTTAAGTCCTACCATAAACAAGAAGATGGACAAGAAAGGCCACTACTATGATTGCTTGTGTTGTGAAGGCGAAGAAAAAACCTTCTTCTTCTTCTTCTACTGTTAAAGATGCCATATTTTAGCTTCAGCCAAACCAGTTTTCTGAGCTTTCTTGCTGATCTGAGCCTTACACACATAACCCTTTTCACCCTAGTAAAAGACCTTCTAATCCTCTCACTCAGACTTTTCTTCCTGCTGAATTGGTAGCTTCTCAAGAACAACTGTCTTTTCTCAATATCTGTGTACCCTGACGTCTCTGTTTTGAACATGTATATTGGCCCATAAGAATTCACAGCCATATCTGATATCCACACACATACACACAGAGTAATATCTGTGTATGTATGTATATGTAGAGAGAGAAAGCAAGCCTAGGCTTGTTTGGAGAGAGAAGAAAGAATTGTAGTAGAAGGAGAAGAGAGAAGAGATATATAGCAAGGCAGGGTTTTTTGATTTTAATGCAGTTTATCTTTAGGTCACGCTTTGTATTGATTAATTGTTGCTTCAGCGTCCACAACGCCGTCGTAATGGTGGCCCTATGCTTTTTTGCCTTTGTAGTAAAGCCAAACTTTTCTCTTTTTCTTTTATAACCATCCCATGCGTGAATGAATTTTCTTTTATCTCAATGACGTGGCAATTATATCAGTTTTTTCGCTTTTCTCCTTTTCCTACTTTTCTACTTCGCATATGAAAAACATAATTTATATATCATAGTTGATGTCTACGCTAGACTAATATAGCTGTGTCATTTTCTTTCTTCTTTTTTTCTTACAAGATATAGTGTGTCAAATGCATAAAATTTTATGATTTAATCATAATTCGATGAAATATTACTTCTTTTAATTTATGATTATTAAGATTGAACTATTTGATTTACAAATATCAAGTGTTAAAAAAAATAATTCTTCATACAAACTGAGTTTTGTAGGCAAAGACATAAAATGTTAAGTCAACGAGCAAGAGTATGGAGTACTCTTACATTTATAATATATCACTTTCTTTATTTCAGTTTACACAGTAATGTTTGGATTTTGAGAGTCAAACAAATTCTTTTATAACGAATTTTGCATATTACTATTAAAAATTTTGAATTGATAATTATTGTAAGAAGGCGAGGAAGGTCACGTGACTTATATGGGTTTCGTGGGAAATTGGACGAAGTGCAAGGAGGAAAATCACGTGACTTCGTCGGGTTTGTTTTTGTGTACGGGATTTTAGCAGTTATGCTTAGAATCTGTTTTTCCCTCCTTTCTATTTGTCTATCTGGGAGGTGGGATCGGATCACACCACCCAAATCAGTTACGGTTTGACTTTTTGATCCAGCTTTTCTTTTTCGTCAAAAAAAAAAAAAGAATCCAGCATTTTTAAAATATTTGAAAAACAGTAACTTTAATTACGTGTGTAATACTGAAATTTGATTATATGTTACGTGAAAAATAAAGCATGCATGGTAGGACGATCATCTCAGTGTTACATTTGCTCTTCTTCATTCATCACTTACAAAAATACTGTAGTAGCATTCAATTTGAGGATAACTAACACAGTACTATTGCTCTAATATCTATATTATTTTATGTAACTCTTTGAACTGTTAATCAGTGTAGAGAATTTTTACATTACTTATTATATGTTAACATATTCTAGCTAATAAGTTGCTTAACATATTCTAGCGGATAAGTTGCCTTGTTTTTCAGATTACTAATCTCAATTTTATAAATAGTTACTTGTGATTATTATTTTGTGGAGTAGATGACTTGAATGATAAAAATTCTGTTAAATATCATCATATAGAAGTTAACTTCATTAAATTTAGCCCAAATAGTTAATTAGCAGTAATATTTTTTATTTGTATTCAAGTTATATATACTAACTACCGGAAAAGAAAACTTTACATCTATCGAACAACATTATTCATGGCTAAATCACAACCCCAGAACAATGGGTGTTTAGCCACTCATACTAGTGTTCGTCACAAAGTTCAATTTCATCACAATTAGCAAAAACCAAGGGAAGAAAAGAAGAACTTGATGATCAAAATCTTTACCTTGCCTCTTGCCTCTCTATTCCTTCCCTAGACTATGAAAACCTTGATAAATAATCCTTGGGAGAGCTTGACTTTATATAGGTTAAGTGGGGTTTCCTCCAGATTTTCAATTATACCCCTAACAAACACTTTCCGGAACTTGGACTAGCGCGGTCGTGCACCTGGGCGCGCATCTGACCGCGCTAGTTGGCAGATGCTAAAATTAGCGCGGGCGCGCAACTGGGCGCGCTAGCCCAGCACTTTGTTTCCTCACTTCTTTTTCTCGTCTTCAAGTGTACTCATCTCCGAAGGGTCTTTCTTGCTCCAAAATAGTTCCAATAACAACTTTAAGGCATCACGTTAAAAGTAAACTATTCGCATGAGAAAATTATTTAACTTATTAACTTTTTTTATAAATTTTAAAAAAGATTATTTCTACTCATATTCTGTTACTGTTTATCAAATGTACAACAGTATGTTAACATGGTGCTAGGACGTTCCTCTTGGTCAAGTACAAACATGTCACTTTACTCAATTTTGGAGAAATATAAGCTACTATAAAAAAAATAAAATAAAATAAAAAAAAGAGAAATAAATTTCTGTTATTCAATCTGTATTGCTGTAAAATCAATAAAACAATAAACTTTCTGAAAAACAGAAACAGAAAGTTAGTAGAACTAGAACGTCAAAATAAATTCTGAAAATAGTATTGGAATAAATCGAGCCCACTGAATACACAGTGTGTCCTTAAGGAAATTATTCCCCTCAAGTACCCCAAGTTCTGGAATATATCCTCCCAGGATAAAACGATTTAACTCGCCGGCGTTTGGTACCAAAAACTCTGGTGATCGGCGAACCACTCAATGGTCGTAAAACACACTAGAAAATATTGTGCAGAAGAAGAAGAAGATAATCAGAAAATTTAGTAAATAAAAATTCTGGGATTGAAGGAATATTTATAGCCCATTTGGCACTGTTTCTGAAAAAGTTGCGGTAATTAAATAATTAAAAAGAATTTTGTCAAAAAAGATTAATCAATCAATCTTTGACCGAAGCTGTAGCCGAGCCGAGCGAGCGACGACGACGGCGCGAGGCTTGCCTTCTTCTTAACTCTTTAAGAACTAAAAGATGAGCTTCTCTATATATACACAAAGATTTTCTTTCCTTCTACCAATGAGGGACAAAGTGCATTAGTAAAGTGAACTAATTCATAATTGCACTTTCCTCCATTTTTTTTCCACCATTTTCCATTCACACCTCTTTTGTTATTAATAACAAAATCCAACAATTCCCCACATGAATGGGGAATGGCTATAAACTTAAAGGAATACACGGACGTGTGTGTGTTTTACATGCAAGAATTAATTGCATCTGGATAAGTAGGTTTCCTTTTAAACTTTCCGTAGTGAACTTATATCAGATATACTCGGTCAATCGGTAGATTTGATATCTTTGAACCGTCGAGATTTGTTCTATACCTAGACAATATAAGTCACACAATCAATCCTTAACCATTTATGGTTCTCATGGTTGTGTTCGTTTCAGCCATGGACACCGCCTGGTTTCATGAGTGCTTAGAGAATGGGCCTTTACTTTCATTCCCCTTGAAGCGACTTACACTTCAAACTCATGTCACACCTCCTTTTTCCTTACTCCCGCAAGGGTGTAAAGGAGTTTTTCCACTTAAAGGACAATCGGAACGGGATTTATTATTAAGATTTCAGAGTCGCCACTTGGGAGATTAATGGTGTCCCAAGTCACCGGTTGAATCCCGAACCGAGGAAATTATGACTCTGTTAACAGTTCGCGAACCAGAAATCCGAGTAAGGAATTCTGTTAACCCGGGAGAAGGTGTTAGGCATTCCCGGGTTCCGTGGTTCTAGCACGGTCGCTCAACTGTCATATTTGGCTTATTTATTTGATTTCAAAACATGTTTTAGCTTATGCTTTTTAACTTTGAACCGCTTTTATTATTATTATTTTAAGAGAATTGCAACGTCGTGAAAATACGTCTCGAACCGCGTCACATAAATGCACCCGCGATTTTTGACACATTTCGACTTCGTTGAGATTTGGATTTGGGTCACATAAATGTGCACCCGAGTTTAGGAAAGTAGATTATTAAAATACGCGCCTGAAGAAACTACGCATTTTAGCTTTGCGAGGGCCATGGAATTTTTGCTAAATGGCACGCCTCGGATTCTAAGGTTAAGTTAAAGCTAATTAAAACGAGGGCCACTGACTAAGCGATTGTATGGCACACCTCAATTTTATGTTCTAAATTCTTAAGACTAAGATGTTTTACACCCAATCAAAACAGTAAAATTCCTACGGCTGAAGTATTTTACGGCCTCACCCAATCTAATCCATTTTCAACAAGAATTGCTTTTGCAACCATGAAACAAATATCTTCCGTACAAGTTTAAGCAATTAAATCTACTGATTCAATGTGAAGCTTATAAAAGACAAGGAACAAACAATCATCACATTTAAAAAATAGAATATTCACATGACTAAAAAACAAAGAAACCAAGCAGCACATTAAGAAATGGTGTAAAAATAGACCTTGTATTGATTGGATCTAAACCTTAAGATTGCTGCTACTCCACAATTAAACCAAGAGCAGCGACAGAAATCCCAGCCGTAACTCGAATCAACAAATGACCCTTCGATCGAACTCCATCTCAGATTTACGGACGTTGACCTCGACCAACTGAAAACCTCGCCGGAGGAACAGGAACTTCGCCGGAAGACCAACCGGATTCTGCCGGAATTTGAACTAAAAATAACGAGATGAACCAGGCGCGTTTCCGGCGAGTCTGGGCGAGAACGAGACACTCCTTTTTTGATTTCTGGCCGGATTTCGGACTGTTTTTCGAGGCTTCTTCGAAGTGACTTAAATGCTAGTTTTACGGGGAGTTATCAGCTCATTTTGGAGCTCTGTTTGGCTGCTTCAATGGAGTTTAGGGGGGTGTGAAATGGAGGTTTACGGCTGAAGGAGATGATGCCGGGGAGAGGGTCTTTTGTTTTGGTTTATGTTGCTGAAGAAGATGACTAACGGGGTTGGTACGAATTTCTTGTGAAAAGCTGCGCTTACCTTCAGAAATTTTTTGCCCTCCCCTTTAGATTTTTGGCATTACTCTATATGTAGAGTGTAGGTTTAGGTGTATTTTGCCCATTAGTCCCTAGATTTTTTGTGTTAAGTCCTTAGGGTCTTTATTTATTTTTTTAATCCCAAAGAAGAGTCTAGAAAGGACCCTAGGCTTAATGGACTAATCCGAATTGGGCCAAGAACTAGGTTCTAACACTCTTAACATTGTGATCCAATACCTTAATTGACTCCCTTTAAAAAAAATACTACACAATGCAAAAGCTAACATGAAACTATTATATATTTTTTTTGTATTTTCAAGATTATGTAGAGATAAAAATAAAGTACTATTTTTGTATAGTTTTTTTTTAAGATTAAAAATGACTATAAAATATTAACAAACCTATTTTTTTG